TAAACTTATTAACAACCCAGTAACTTTCCGACGACTCTTAGCCGTTTTTACGATGTTTATGGCAATATCAGGACGACTAGCAGATTGCAAATGTGCTTTTGAGGCTATTTTCAACTTTGGCGATTCGAATTCCGACACGGGCGGGTTTTGGGCAGCTTTTCCCGCACAGTCCGGGCCTTATGGGATGACCTACTTCAAGAAACCGGCCGGTCGGGCTACTGATGGGAGGCTCATGATTGATTTCTTAGGTAAATTTTTAGATAATTAATTTCTTTATTGAGTTAATTTCTTTGCAAACTTGCATTTTCTTTGTTGGAAGATAGAAATTGATGCACAAGTTATCTCATTGTGAAATGTGAAGTGTGAACACACACACACAGATGCCAGGCACACTTTCTTGCATTTTCTTTTCAGCCAAACAGTGAGCATAATGTTTCTCTTAGGATGAGGATCCATTTGGCTGATATGAACATTGGCATTTTTTGTTTGTGTTGTTGAACTGTGTTCACACAAATAGTGCAGTTGTCTTGTTCTTCATTGGATCTTCCATTATCTTTTTAGTGCTCAACTACTTTTCAAAGACACAATCTCCAGAGTGTTTAATGATTTAATTATATACTAAAAATTAATTAATTTTTGTTAAATCATTAAACTAAAAAATTATTAACCATGAGTGGAGAGACTTCTGAAATATTAACTAAGTTGTGGAAAAATTATCACATAGTGGCACGCTACATATGTACATAATAGACGTACTAACATCATGTGATACATTAACGATGACCCAAAATGTTTTCCGTCAAAAAACCAACATAAACAAAACAACACAATCACATTTAATCATCTGCCCAACCAGTTCAACGAAACACAATAAACAACACAACAAAACACAACAACGAATCATCGTAACGACAAAAATGGGTCACAATAATGAAGCAACACACCAAACCAACCACAGAAATTAACGCAACAAAATGCAGATGAGAAAATTGCTATATATATAATTCTTCTAAAAAAAATAACACAATAATTTGACAATGACATTTTTAATAATTATTAACCAAAGTGATAGACTTTTGAATTTCTAATAAATGAAAGGAACATGGTTACTATTCTAACCTATTTTCTCTTGTACCCATATGCAAGAATACAAATGTGAAACAACATTTTGTAAGAAATTTTATATACAAATTATTTTTGTATAACATTGGTTATTGGTTAATTTCACTTTTATTTGTTGAACTATCTTTTGCTCATTACGATAGTTTTTTGGGTGAAACACTAATAAATTTCAAAATGTGATTTTATGAACTGTTTAATTCTTTTTTTTTTTACTTATGAACCATGTGGAGGGAAAAAATATGAGTCCAGGCTCAAACCCAATCATGCTAGCCCAAAACAGAAAATAGTAAGCCCAAACCCGTCCTTTGTAATCCACAGAGGACAGTTGGCAACAGCTTGACATCCAATCAAAGCACGTGGAGAGACAAGGAAATATAAAAGATAACCTTCTAAAAGGCAGATTTGTAAAGTAAATGAGAGATTTCGGATTAGATATCATCCAACAGTAACAAGTGTAGAACAAATAAGGCAAAGGTATAGGTTGTGCCTAGTAGAAGGCCGAGCCGTTCAATCAAATTAATCCTACGTATATAATACTCGACAAGTTGGCCACTAACGTTAGACATTATCTTGGTTGTCCATGCGGTAGAGATCCAACAATCAAAGACATGGGCAACTTGGCAAGATGTCCAACCAAAGCCAGGTATAGGCAAAAACCTTTCGATCAAGACAAGATCCAACGGATGAAATTTGAACAAGAATAGTTATAAATGGGTAAGCATGCAAAGTATAATGGGACAAGTGAGTGAATCCAATTCAGTCCAATTGTACTCAATCTTGATTAGCTTCTGTTTCATAATTATTTCCTTTTAAAATATTTATATGTTATAGCTTATTAGGGTGTTGCCTTGATCATCGGAGAGTCCTCCCGACCTATCCTGGTCGGGAATGATCACTGATATTGTGGTATGTCTTTATAGAGTACAAAGGATTGGATGCACCATCTCACTTTCCATATGGAGATAATTTTACCTTCCACAAACCCAAAGGTCCTATTAAGTAGAAATTACATAAAAAGGTAGTCCCTTATATATTTGGATTAATTTTTTAGAGATAAAAGTGGAATTCTCAAAATGTGAAATTATACATTTAGACAATCCGCACTATAGAGGTTTGGATTTTCCCTCACTTTGGAATAAATCTCACATTATAAACAAAAACATAATACTTCAATGTAATACACTAAAAAACTCTCTGGTGTATTTTTGCCAAATGTAACAACATAATGCTCTAAAAAATTCCTTTGAGTATTTTTTTCCAAACAAAACACTCCAATCAATGTAATATACTAAAAAACTCCTTGTACTTTTCTCAAACGTAACACTCCAATCAATGTAACACACTAAAACTTCAAATGTGAAATAAGAATTGAAATTAACCACACCATTACAATTACACCAATATTACCAAAACACTCATACTAATAAGAATGGACATGTTACACCCATACAAATAAGAATTGAAATTAACTACACCATTACAATTACACAAACATTACCAAAACACGCATGTAACACAAACAGTTGATGGGCTAAAACAATGACAACCAGTGTGTTGTGTACAATGCTACGACCCTAGACGAATGTGATACCTCCTAAAATCATGGCACACAAAAAAAGAAAAAAAAAAAAACACACCACAAACGTGTGGCACGCTACATATGTACATAATAGACGTACTAACATCATGTGATACGTTAATGATGACCCAAAATGTTTTCCGTCAAAAAACCAACATAAACAAAACAACACAATCACATTTAATCATCTGCCCAACCAGTTCAACGAAACACAATAAACAACACAACAAAACACAACAACGAATCATCGTAACGACAAAAATGGGTCACAATAATGAAGCAACACGCCAAACCAACCACAGAAATTAACGCAACAAAATGCAGAAAACATTAAACATAAAACATAACAAACCGATGCATGTACCTTGCGATAATTCCACCCAGGATTGGAACAAACATCCTCCGTACTTCCCCTGCCAAAACACCACCACCAAAAAATGAGTTTCAACACTCGATACCGAACACGTTAAACATCCACCCAGCAAATGTTACCAAAATGACCCACCCAAATCCCCAAAAAATATCCCAACACACATAACATTTCCATTTCTGTTTCACAATGACTAAAAGATTTGGAAAAAATATTCACAGAAGGGCAATCAAGTAAACTCAAATGGCACCAAATTAAATAAATCCTCCTTTCCAAAAATAAAAATGACTAATTCATTTAAAAGAAAACTCTTAAAACTAAATGAATCACTATTCTCCCAAATGAGATTCATAGGTAAATTTTCCTAGTTTTTTATTATTATTGATTTGGATGAATGGTCTCCAAGACTCCAATTAGACTACATGAACAAAAATAAAAAATAAAAAATGCATATTAAATAAATTAAATTGATAATTAAAAGATAAAAGAAAATAATAATAATAATAATAATAATTTAGAGGATAGAAATAAAATTAACAGCATTGCCTATTTAAACCCATTGATCGTGTTAAAGGTTTCAAATGATTCAAAACAAAACAAAGCTTTCTTCAATTAAAAAAGAAGAAGAAGAAGGTTTGTCATATTGCCAACTAATACAATTTATACGCTTTGGTGGTATTGAAGGTATCAAAGATTCAACAAGAATTAAGATTTCTCTAAGATATCAAAAGATTCAAAGCTATGAGGATGGTTATGGGTTTATGGGTTCTATTTGTTGTTGGGTTTGTTAGCAAATGTGTAGATGGGTTTGAGTATTTCAATCTGACAGAGCTTCGATTTGAATCTTTCTATGGAGTCTCTGCTTCCAACGGTAATAATTCTCTGCTGCCAAATCTTTCTTCTTCTTCTTCTGTTTTCTTTCTTCTTTTTTTTTAATTGAATTTTCTACATTATGGCCACTTTATGGATTTGCTGCTAATTGTAGAATCTTAAGCTAACTATGCGTAATTCCATATTGATTGATGTTTATGGCAAAACACTCTCTTAAAAATTTCCGGCGACTCTTAGCCGTTTTTACGATGTTTATGGCAATATCAGGACGACTAGTAGATTGCAAATGTGCTTTTGAGGCTATTTTCAACTTTGGCGATTCGAATTCCGACACGGGCGGGTTTTGGGCAGCTTTTCCCTCACAGTCCGGGCCTTATGGGATGACCTACTTCAAGAAACCGGCCGGTCGGGCTACTGATGGGAGGCTCATGATTGATTTCTTAGGTAAATTTTTAGATAATTAATTTCTTTATTGAGTTAATTTCTTTGCAAACTTGCATTTTCTTTGTTGGAAGATATAAATTGATGCACAAGTTATCTCATTGTGAAATGTGAAACACACACACACACAGATGCCAGGCACACTTTCTTGCATTTTCTTTTCAGCCAAACAGTGACCATAATGGTTCTCTTAGGATGAGGATCCATTTGGCTGATATGAACATTGGCATTTTTTGTTTGTGTTGTTGAACTGTGTTCACACAAATAGTGCAGTTGTCTTGTTCTTCATTGGATCTTCCATTATCTTTTTAGTGCTCAACTACTTTTCAAAGACACAATCTCAAGAGTATTTAATGATTTAATTATATACTAAAAATTAATTAATTTTTGTTAAATCATTAAACTAAAAAATTATTAACCACGAGTGGAGAGACTTCTGAAATATTAACTAAGTTTTGGAAAAATTATCACATAGGTTTACCTCATATCCTACCTGATATGTTCATACAATTCTATTGGTTTCATACCTATTATTTCTTATTATTTCTTATACATTACATAAAATAACCAATAGATAATTGAAAAAATACACAACATAATTGAAAATTTTAAAAGATAAAATAATTCCTCCTAAGTTTTAAGTGACTTAAAAAATAATGTGGTATAATTTTAATAGTAAAAAAATAATAATAAATTGGATTGTTCGATGTCATCATCATGTATAGTTCCAATTGTGAGATAAGTCAAGGCTAAGTAGGTTTCACATTTTTTTTTTATTGGTCCATATCCATATGAGATAGTTTTGGAATGATGTGAATCACTTACCCAAAATGAGGCCCATTTTAACATCCAATGGTACCCCGAAAATGGCCTCCCAAGTTTTCAATTTGGCTGGCATCACATCAATTTTGATATTAAAAATCCAGCAAGCTCCCAAAATTCTGTCTCAATATAATTTTAGTCATATCATTATATTTTGAGATTTTCATGAATGAGAATTCTTAATATCTCATATTGAAATAGAGATAATTGAAAACAAATGATCTCTTAAACAATCTAGTTAGATAATCTTATTTCGAGCAGTAAAATCTCTAAATCTATTTTGTCCCTTTTCTCCTACCAACTCTAAGATTCACTTTCTCATACCACTTCTAAGATTCATTGTGTGATTTGATTGAAAGGATGATTTAGGCAGATGATCCGATCTTATTAGAATAGCATTTCAACGTTTAATCAAGCATAACATTAGATAAATTAAAACAAATGATACTTGAAAAGTAGCCATTATTGGGTCCTATCACTTTATAAACAAAAAAACCCATCATTGTAATTTACATTTTCAAGATTATTATTACTACATTCTGATATACAATTCTGTATAGTTTTTTTTATTTGTGAATCACTTTTTAGCAATTTTTTGATGGTCAATTAACATTGTGTTTTTTTCTTGGTAGCTCAAGCTCTAGGGTTGCCATTTTTGAGCCCATATTTGCAATCAATTGGATCAGATTACAGACATGGGGCCAACTTTGCAACATCAGCATCAACAGTTCTCCTGCCACAAAGTTCCCTATTTGTCTCTGGGCTAAGCCCTTTTGCTCTGCCCATTCAGCTCAACCAAATGAAGCATTTCAAGGTTAAAGTTGATGAACCTCAATCTAATGGTAAAAATCGAGTGCACCATGGTGCTTCTACATTCAATTGATTATTTTGTCTACTCTTTTTTGGGTGGAGAATATTTTTGAATTTTTTTAATATTTAGTATGATGAAAAGTGAAGTCAATAGAAAGTATTTTCTATTGTCATTAAAAAACCGAGTTAATTTTGGCTGAAAGCATTTTTTACCACCACCACTTACAATCATTGTCGTTGCCACCACCTTTGCTTCACCACACCACCTTACTATCACTACTAGAACCACCAATACTATGATTTTCAAGATTACAACTAAACACAACAAAGTATTTTTTGCAGAAGACGTTTTTTGAAAAATATGTCTGATAAAATGATGCATAACATTATATATTTTTATTTTATATTTTATAATTAATATTTAGTTAGGCATATTTAATTTAGTATATAATAGTATAGATTTATTTAATTTCTTAATTTTGATTTGATGCAATTTTTGTATTCTATTAGCTATGATTTTTATTTCTTATTTTATTAGTTTCTTATTCTCCAAGAAATAGGTTAACTATAAAGTTGTAAGCCTTAGAGTTATGGAGTTGAAGTTGATATTTGATTAATAAAAATTGAGAGTTTTCTTAATATTATTCGTTCGTAGAGAGAATATTTTTAATTCGAATTTGGTCGTGGTTCAATTTTGTTCTTTGCTCTTTTTTTCGATACGCTTCCCTACATCATAAAATATTTTTTTTTTAAATGATTTTTATCAAAAAAAAAAAATGTATACTTCTAATGAGAATGTGAACTTTATTTTTTTTAGGTAGATAACTTTGAATGTTGATTGATTTACAGGATCAAACAATCTTCCACAGCCAGACATATTTGAAAAATCAATATTCACGTTCTATATTGGTCAGAATGACTTCACTTCCGACTTAGGATCTCTTGGCATGAGTGGGTCAAAGATTATGCTTTCTCAAGTGGTTTCCCAAATTGCCGCCACCATTAAGGTCAGCATTTTCACCGACTTGGGTTTTGTCAATATAGTATAAATTCACAGTAAAAATGCTAAAAACACATTACTTTGTTATGCATTTCACCAGAATGAATGTAATTTTGTGCACCCTTTTTTAAAATTATTTTTTAGTGGAAAATTTTGCGTTTTTAGCATTAATGTTTGTGAAAAAAATTATATGGACTCAATAGACAAATATACTTAATCTTGCATTAAAATGGAGTTGTTGACAATATTACATTTGTCCTAGATAAAGTTTACATTCCAGTAAAATGAATGCACTACTGCTAGTGCTACATTCTGTAGACTTTTTAAAAAAAATTATGTGTTTCCTTTTATTGATTTACAATATATCACAAAATTAGGTTGCATAATAAATGGACCAATGACTTGAATATATATTTCATGAAATTTGGTACTTAGTGGTGTTTTAGAAAGTTGGTAAAAAGTTGATTTTTTGATTTTTTTGACAAAAAACTAAGTTATTTTGGGTCAAAACTGACTTTTTTTAACTAAAAACACTAAAATATCAAAAAATTAGTTTTTTTTAGTGTGTTTCTAAAAGACCCCTAATCTTGCACCAAAGTGGAGTACGGGTAGCACTGCATTTGATCTTGATAGGGCTCACACTCAAGGAGAATGAATGTACTGTTGTCAGAACTACACTCACCGCACTTTTATCAAAAAGTTTAGAATAAATTTTACTTTACTTCTTATGATTTTGAACCATATGCAATTTATTCTTAATGTTTAGAAATTAACTATATAACTCCTATATGATTTCTAAACTAAAGTCTACCGTTTATTTTTTCATCCAAATTAACTGACTATCGATTCACATGCTCATGAAGAGAATAAGTTTTATTTAAAACTAAAATACCCTTACACATCTTTAAATTTACAAAAACATGCCATTCTTCCCTAAACCTATATATATACACACATACATACACATAAATTTTTTTTTTCATTTGTTCTGTAATGGTTACCACTGTATGTATCAATGAAGTTTGTTGGGTCAAAACAGTGGCAAGCAATCAACAAAAACTTTCTAGTGGGTTTGATTTCATTATTCAATTTTTTATTATGGTTAGTAGGTTTGATTAGCTTGATTGTGTTATGAACTTTGGTTGACGTATGGTGGGCTTTTCACTGGACTCGGTTTTGCTATGGGTGGCTAATCTTGATTTGATTACATGTGGTGATGGGTTTAATTTCTTTGTTCAATTTTTATTGAATTTCTGGTTGGTGGGTTTAATTACCTTGATTATGTTATGAATTTTGGTTGAATATAGTGGGTTTTTCACCGGTCTGGTTTTCCAATGACTCTTGAAAACTCGTGAGCTTCGTCTTCTCAAATTGACTTCGGAGCTGCGTGTGCGAAAACAATTTTTAAAAATTTGAAAACAACTTTCATGTTTGCTAAAAGGCTTGTATTTTTCAGAAAATTTCCAAAACAGTTCATAGAACAAGTATTATCCGAAAATGAAAACCCAACAAAATAATCCCAAAACATCAAAACCCACCAACGAAAAAAAAGTGCAAGAACTAAATTGAATCAAAATCATAACTTGAAACACTTTGAGAACCAAATCCAGGAATAGAAACATTCACAAATCTGAACAAAAACCCAGATCAGAAATAGAAAAAAAGAGAAAAGACAGTGAATCTACAACTCCATGGACAACTCCAGCCTTTTTGGTCGAATACGGTGGGTAATCCATGAGCAATTGACTTCCCATGGAAATTGTGCAAGTGTATTGGTGAGCAAGAGGAAGAAGACGAGAGTATAAAGGTTAATTTACATGTTTTGTTAATAGAACTTAGTGTGCATTTTAGTTCATAAATCACGTGCAGGGTTATGTGATTATTTTTAAATAATAGGGAATAAACCGTGTATGACCCAAACCATAAGGGGTGAAGTGAAATTTGCTCAAAAATTTATATAATTTACAATGTCCACCAAACTTAGACCGCATAATATATGGTCTAGTGACCTTAATGTTTGTGGAAATTCAAGGAATTATACGGGCTAGGAGGACGGACATTTCTGGTACTTAATCTAGCACCGGTGGGTTGTTACCCGTTGTTTTTGGCGGGGCTACCACACAATAGCTCCGACCTTGATGCATTCGGATGCGTAATTTCCTATAACAATGCAGTGGTGGACTACAACAACATGTTGAAGGAAGCTCTGAATCAAACCAGACAAGCAATCCCAGATGCTTCTTTGATATATGTGGATACTCATGCTATTCTGCTGGAGCTCTTCCAGCACCCCACATCTCATGGTATGGTTCGATTCAAACCAATGCCTCAAAAAAGTCACATAACTCATATCATACCATGTGTATCTTCAATTTATGGGATTGACAACTAATGTATACATGTACTAGTAAAATTCTGTCCTTGAATCACTTCATTATTTGGAAACAACATTAATCGTTTGATTTTCAACTATATTATATAGGACATTTTCATAATTGTTAAATTTATTCAATTTAAATTCTTAATTATGGCATATAAGACATTTTTTAAAAACTGGTTTGTTTTATTATATAAATAATAATAATTAGAATTGCTTACAAAGTTGGTACTACTTATACTTTTATAAAAGTTGCAAATGTGAGATTTTAAATTTGTGGATTGTTTATGAAAGAAAAAGATAAAATAATTAGATTAGTCTAGTTGGCCGGAACTTTTGTACTAAATTACAAGGTTAAGAATTTGATTCCATGTTTCTTATACTACAGGCTTGAAAAAAAGAAAAGAAAAAGAAAAAGCAAGAGATATAAATAAAAAAATTTCCCACCTTTCCTTTCTTTTTTATTTTCTCTCCACAAATTCTTCATGAATACACTAGGGAAAAGTGAGGAAGTTGAAACCATAGTCTTCTACCTTGAAACCCTACTATTCATCCAAAAGGGGTTCTTTCCTTGAATCCATATAGAGATAAGAGATATTATTTCTCTATAATTTTACAGTAATGTTAAAAGTATTAACTAATGTACTTGTAAACATGCCAACTATATCATATTGCAATTTATGTTTTTGTTGCCACTATTTATTTTTCATTATTTTGACACACAAATAAAACAAGTTCAAGGTTGTCACACTCACATGTTTGATGATGAAACAGGATTGAAGTATGGTCCAAGAGCATGCTGTGGATATGGGGATGGAGATTACAATTTTGACCCTAAGGTGTACTGTGGAAACACTAAGGTAATCAATGGGAGTACTCTCATAGCAACAGCTTGTAGTGATCCGTACAACTATGTGAGTTGGGATGGAATACATGCCACTGAGGCTGCAAACAAGCTTGTCACATATGCTATTCTCAATGGCTCTTACTTTGATCCTCCATTTCCTCTTCATCAGCTTTGTGATCTCAAACCTATAGACTAATGTATTTATCTTTCTGAACTTAGGATTGTAATAAATAATACAACAATGGGTTAATTTCACTTTACCCCCTCAATTTTAAAACGTACATTTAGACCTTTTTCTTCTCTCCACGAATGAAATGAGAGAGAAAGTCAGAGGAAAAAACTCATTTTCTCTTTCCGAGATCCGAGAGTGGAGAATATATACTATTCTTTGGGTTCGTAGGATCAAATGTAAAGAGTTTTAAACTTGTCTTCATAGAATTTTAAGCAGCAAGAGACTTCAGGGCTTGTTGGAGCTGCTGAATATAACGAATCGAAGCTGAATATGGATCAAGGTAGCTTGTCTACCAAGTCAATAGGCAAAGGGCATTGCTACACTTTCACCCTCTCCAGAAAAGGGTTTCTTCGTATGGGTTTTGATAGTTGAGGATTTAAATGTATGGTTTTAAAGTTAAAGTGGTGAGTAAGGATTTAAATGTACGGTTTTAAAAATAATCAATCTCCTGTGAGTGTTGTAATATGTTTATTTAGTTATGAAACAAGTTTATTACTTGAGTTCAACACATTCTTATTCCTTACATGGGTAGTATGTACATGGAAATCATTTGACAATGTTGTGAGTAGGTGCGCATGGTGCAGTTCGAGCAGTTTAAAAGTGAAATTATAAATCAAATTGTGAATAATAGATTGGCGAATAACCAAATTGTGATTTGGGTGGTTTTAGTTTGCTAGTTGATTGAAAAATATTTTTAAATAATTATCAAGTATTTGCATAATATATAATACTAATTTATATAATATTTTTCATATAATGCAAACTAATTTTACATAATATTTTTTTTTATATATAACTACTCATTTGTAATAAATTTCACATTTAAAATCTCCCTTACACTCATTTTTACTTTAATATTTCATTAGAGATTCTAAAAATTTATATGTATTAATTATAGCAGAACGGAGCAGTTTCGAAAGCAAATTATAAAGTTCAAAATTTAATTTGTGATTAGTGGATTGAGCGGTACGGATCATTGCGGATTGGACGATTTTAGCGGATTGTTTAGTATTTTACACAATTCTAGTTGTGAGTTTTAAGCTATGCCAAAATTATGCTAATTTAATTTGACATTTTAAATTGTGTTTGAATCTTGGATTAGGAGAATGAAAAGAAAAGAGAAAGAAAAAAGAAGTTAAACTTTTTCTCCTTTTTTTTTCTTAATTTCGGCCTCGTTTGGGAACCCTCCCTTTTAGTTAAAAAGTCAAAAAGTTACTAAATTAGCCAAAAAGCCAACAATACATACCAAAAAGTCAAAGATTCTCTTTTCTCTCTACTTTTTACACATCTTTTCGTAAAAAGTCAAAAAGTCATTCCAAACATACTGATTTTTTTTT